AAAAAAAAAAAAAAAAGCCAGTCAAATGGTCCAGGCATTCAAGTCTTAGCATTCATACAACAGGATTACTTCATGTTGATTTATAACATTGTTAGAAATTAAGGGAAAATTAACTATATGCATTTCAAAGTATACATATTTCTCAAACTGGTGGGACTCATAATAATAAAAGCTTTGTTATTAATTGAATAAAGCAGACATTATGGGGCTTCTTTACCAATGGGACCATTTTAAGAAACAGACTTGTAGCTCCTGGTACAGAGTAAGCTAATTAATTTTCTTTATTATATCTTGCTTGGATCAAAGCAGGTATCTCTACAGATGATAAATATTAATCCATTGAATGGATGGAGGGTCTAGCCTGTGCATGGTTCTAGAGAATTGGGTGACTTTAAGGAAGGTAGTATTGCATTGTGTAGAGTAAAAATCATTTTTAGAGATAGTTTTGCAAGACGTAGAGGGGTTTGAGGTGAGTGAAAATAGTCGCTCACATTAGTCATGCAGCCTCTTCGTAGGGGAATAATAAAGGAAAACAAATGGAAAGATGGGTTTTCATTGGGAGGCTAGCAAAAAAAAAATATAAAACTTAAGTAACATGGAAACAGAGTAATAACTACTTAAATTGGCACCAGTTTAATTTTCAATTATCTAAAACCCTTAGATGATTCTTTTTATGCTGTCTAGGTATTTGCCAAATCTTTATCACTAGGCGAACGTTACTGAGGATTGAATACAGATTATTCTGTCTCTAAAGAAATCCAAGCTACATCGCCTCTTCTTTGAGTCTTACATTCGCATTCTTACTCTACTGTGTTTTTCATGATATTTGGTATTAAACGTATTGAAGCAATTTTTCAGCCAAAACCTGAACGATGTTTTCTTCTGGGAAGACTTACTTCATAGGCCAGAGAAGCCACGTTCCAGGGTCTTCTGTAGTAGGTTAAAGTGTTTCCATCCCGATCCCGGTTACAGAGTCCATTGTAGAACTCATTGTCGAAAGGTGTGCTTAGGGGATCCATCCCTAAAATGTTGATTCTGAGAATGAACAGAGTAGTATCAGGCGTGGAAATAACACAAGCTAATGCAAGGCAGCCCTCTGTAGCCAGGAAAAGTGAGACAGCTTCAGTTCATGTCACCATCACCCAATATGTGTGTGCTATAATCCGGAACAGAAGCAAGAGCCTGTTCACCTTGGCTGAGTGTCTCTGGCAGAAAGCGAACCTTAGAAGGGCCTTATAAACTCTTTTAGGCAACTAGGGCACTGTTTAGAGTGCAATGAAAGAAACACAGTAAGTAGGGCATGTGGGACCATCTGGCTCCTGGAGTCTTAACTCCACTGCTGTAACTCATACCTAACCTCTCCTGGTGAACCAAGAGCCGATGCTGTAATACCAACTATTTAAATTATTTGAGAACAGAGCATCTCAGGGGGAAAATATAACATATGCATGCAATTTTTCATCTATGAATCAACATTGGGACTCTTTCTCTGTCTCCACATTCTCTTTAAACTTAAGCCTTTTCCTCCAGCTGTCTTACTGCTTGTCAAGAACCTCATTCCCCCCAGACTTATATTATTCCTATTACACTTTCCAATACGAACACAAAAATTTCAGCATCCTGGTAAGGCATTCTCAAAAGTTCTACTTTTTCCCACAGCAAAATATTTTTATTTGGCAAGCTT